TTTCATGCTGGTATTCTGTGAGAGTGTGGTCCTATCCTGGCCAAGCCGACCCAGTCATGCTACAACTATACAACTGCAGCATGGCTCTACCACATATTATATCTAAAGTTCGAACTTGCTATTGCAATTAATAGTTTTGCGTTCTTATTTAAAACTTTGTTTTAAGACCTTAATGTGTTTTATTTGGGGTAGTCCACTTACCAATAGAAATGAACCTATTTGTTGCTGCAAGAAGATAGAAGAAGTAGCTCTGATGGAATCTTTCCAGTAAATTGTTAAGGGACCTAAGTATGCTCTCCAATGCAATGCCCAACCGGTAGAAATTGGCTGCAGGGAGGGAAACTACTTTAGGTGGGATGCCGGCTTGATCATCTGCATATCTACCTTCGAGGGTCACAGCTTCGATTCCGAAGCGATGGAACAGTCCGTGGTTGCCATTTGGAACCTGAAAATTATGGGATTTTTTTATAGAATAAGAGTGCCAAACAAGCACACACTTCACCTGATGGTAAGTGGTTTCTGTGGCCCATAGACACCTACATCTGTCCTCAGTTGAAAATCAGAATGCAGATGCCTTGTCACCCCTTAGGACTAAGATGGTGTAATGCAGTACCCACGATTGTCGTGTTAAGCATAAGTTAGAATAAGTTTACAGTTGTCCAATTAAAGTCCTAAACAAAACGCCTCCCTGTCATTAACACTTTCCCAATGGAAAGAAAGAAAGAGATATTCATTTGGCCATTTCTTAACAAATTAGCACTAAATACTCAACACAAACATTTTGTATAGGATAATGGAATGCCTTGTTTCCAGAAAGTACCTCCAGTCCTCTATATTCACACTATGAAATACAACAAAATTAAACTGCTATTCGACGCTAGTATTCTGTGAGAGCATAGTTTTTCTCTGTCCGAGCCAATCCATTTCTTCTACAACCATAATATAGCTGCAGCGTGGTTCTACGACATTTAAAATCCAAATATTGTGCCTTCTTTCAGATAGCTATAAAAATATTAAACCGGATTAAATGGGAAAGGGTGGCGTGACCTTGACAAGTCGACAGTAAATCTTAAATTTTATTCCATTTGAACAGTTAACTCCCTCAATTTAATGCTCGAGAATTACTTTGAATTTCAATAGTTAAAGAAACTGTTAAAGAAAAATATTTTTTGAAACGCCTTTCAACACTTACCCCAGGAAACAATGTGTTGACCATACCCAGCATAGTCCAAATTCCGTTGACCCATTCGTCCATCTTGTTATGCCGTATCCATGAATAACTGATAAAAAAATGTAGAAAACAGACTTTTGGAAAAATATTAATTGGTCAATAATATAATATAATCTAATATATATAATATACATAATATATATAATATAATATAATAATATAATATAAATAATATAATCAATACGCACGGCACCGATAACTTTATCACTACAAAACACTATTAAATCTTTGAATATTTACTCACTGGCGACTATATTGGATAATTTGATTAATGTAAATTAACACTTACACTTTAAAGGATACAATGATAGGAGTTTGACGCATAAATAAGCTCTTTTTAAGGAGCTAAAACCAAAAATATACGGAGCTCTGTAAAGTACGTGTGGTCGGCCCGAGAACAAAGGTTGATTCTGCGATACATCATCATATGCAATAGAATAGAATAATTTTTAACCACTGATTCGGAAAAAAATCTCTGTCCTAGAAAGAATCTTAAAAACCTCACAAACCTCTTCCATCGTAGGATTTGGTCGAATTTGGACAGTCGAGTGGGCCCATTTGTTCCTCAACTGTATTACAATTGTAGATTTTTTGATATTTGTAATTTGTTTTGTGTTATTAGTTATTATGTACTTAATTTTAATGATTGTAAACTGTTCTTTTAAAAACAATGTCCCGACAGGTATTTTCTGAACCAGTGGTAAATTAAACATAAGAGTAACTTTCAATAAGTATTATTTATAATCTATATTGAATAAAAAACTTTCTATTTCCATTTCTCTTATTCTTCATCATCAGCTCGCTAGTGGCTGTTAACATTACAGCCTACTGCCCAGTAATCCACTGCTGAGCACAGTATCTCCCCAAGGATTACCCTATGGGGCACAGTTATCGCCTCTGCACATTAAATCTTTGCCAAGGATCTACCTTTATCATCACACTTGGCAAGTGTATTGGTGAGCATGTTAAATGTATAACATCAACATGTAAGTAGAATTGTGTCAGTTGTTATCGCAACCTGTACTCAAGACCCTGAGCAGCTGGGTTGGTAAGTGCAGAGCTGGCCATCACACTGGTGATACCAATTATCATTTATCGCAGCCCGTGAAACTTGGTTTGTGCGGTTTTGTATAGCTTTGAAAAAAATTTAAAAGAATACCTTGTGCAGGTAAGGGATGACATTTGCAGAAAGATCTCACGTTTTACATAAAACATTTTTTGTTTTTCATTTGTTATACACGTAGCCGAATGAAAATATTACGATAAGCAAAACAATATGTTTCTCTCACCTATTCTTATATGAATGGTGAATACCAGACTTTACACACAACTTGTGCACTAAATTAACTAGATCCAAATTTGGCAACTGTCCGTTCAGTCCTTCAATTTTCACCTCTATGTACTCTGTAAATTAAATTCACTTTAAAATACCTTAAATATTTTATATAACATTAAATAAATATACATTGTAAAGTAATGCTATGAGCCTATTCTGCCAAGAACGACCCAAAGTAAAAATTAAATGTTTAAGGTAATTTTGACTAACTTTGACCCAACCATGTACTGAAATATCTTACATTTAAAGTATTAGGAAATTAATATACAAAATTGAGTCATTGTTATTTAGTTGTGGGAGCTCAAGTGAAAGCGCTTGCTGTAATATTCACAGTATGCGAAGGTATGATCCCTGCTGGCACCAATGAAATTGTCAATTGCTGCTTTAAGTGCTGATTTACCACATACTTGGTGATGAATGAACACATGATGAAAAGACAAAATGTGAAGAAACTGACATGTCTGAGAAATTGAAAATAAAATCTCGAAGAAGTGTGCAGTCCTCCAACAGGTATAGGCAAAGGCATTTACTTGCCCTAAAACCCTCTCAGAGGTGAGAGGAGTCCTGTACCTGGTGTTTTTCCGGACCGATAAAACTTCGTGATCTGCAAGAAACGAGTATACTCCTTTTTTAAAGGCCAGCAACACACCTGCACTTTCCATTTGTTCATGGACGACAGCCGACACTTACCTATCAGGTAAGACGCATGCTGGTTTGCCCTCTCTTTTATAAAAAAAAAAACCAGTTACACTTAAATTGAGTTTCATGAAATTATTAATTACCATTTAAGTGCAGTTATTTAGGCTGTAATACATTCTATCTTCTTTCGTTTCCTCCACTCCTCATCACCACTGGCACACATATTTATTGCTTCATTCCCTTTAGTTTTAGTGCAATAATTTGTCCTTTTTTTACTAAGGATAATTACACACTGTTTGTAACAATATCATGCTACAAGCTGTAACGCCTCAAGGGTTGCATTTTCAAAAATATGTCCTTAGTAGGTGTCAATATCCAGAAAAAAGTATTAATGCCAAATTTCAAATTATCGGGCTGATAGTTTTGGAGTTCTCGTGATGAGTGAGTGAGTCAGTAGTATTTCGCTTATATATGTATATATAAATAGATAACCAAAGAAATTAAAAAAAAAACTTACTGATTTTAGGTGTTTCAAACTCCAGATTTATTGCAGCCTGAATCGACCCAGACCTTCCTTGTAGTTTACCTGGATCTAAGCACCTTGTATGATCTTCTCCCCACTCCATCTTTGATGTTAATTTCCTAAGATCTAATGAAGGTGTTCCAGGTTTCCAGAAGCTTCCAAGGCTAGTGTAGAATGTACCGGGTTCGTTTTTCAGGCCATGATATGCTTCTAACCACGCCTGCATCCCAAGTTGCTCATGTTCAGTGATAAGGAATATAATGTCCTTTGCCCAATATTTCTGTGCTGTAAAAGAATGTATGCCAAATTAAAGTGGCCTCATAGGGGGATATTTTCCTTAGTCGTTAATTTGTATGCAGGTACGAGAAGTGAAACCTTGGAGCTGCCACCACCTTTGTATAATCATATAAAAGTTAAAGTTACAGCCTATATACGTCCTACTGCTGGGCAAAGGCCTCCCCTCATTTCTGAGAGGGTTTTAGGGAAAGGTGGTGTCCGCCGCGCTTCCCCTATGCATGTTGGCGAACTTCACATGTCTTCCAAAATATTTTATTCTTTATTCCGCAGACCCTCAGACATGCAGGTTTCCTCACGATATTTTCCTTCACCGCCGAGTACGTGGTAAATCAGCACTTAAAATTCCAATTAACAATTTCATTGGTGCTGGCGGGGATCGAACCCGGGTTACTCGCGTTTTGTTATATTTACAGCGAGCATGAACGATCTGAGCTACCACGGCTCATGGTATATATAACACAATATTGCAAATAACAATGTTGTCCATTCTCACATACACAACCGTGACCACACATGGCAGGCGGGTTGGCAACTTGGCAATATCAGTAATTCGTGTGAATTTATATTTTAACCCGAGTAGTGACGGTGTAAGAATATCCACTAGCCCATATCGTGCATGTCGTAAGAGGGGACAGAGGGAAATTGAAACAGGTGACGGGCTGCAGCGTCTGCCTGATAACTACAACGACTCAAAGTTATAAACAAACTGCAGTTGACAACCCGCTTGCCAAGCGTGCCAACTATTTTTATTTATTTATTTAAAAAAAACCAACAGCGATTTAACAATTTTAAGGACTTAAAGTATACAGCTTAAATGTAAGGCCTATTAAAGGTTTTTTCAGTTATATAAACAAAAAATACTATGGACGGTACAATTTAACTATTCTTTGGATTTATTATAATATGTATGTACTAATCCAAAATATTATATATATATATATATATATATATATATATATATATATGTTCACAGATATGTAACTAAATGTTTATACTATTTACACTTTTGCATATGTGTATGTAGAAGTAATATTTGTTTTATTTATTTCTCTGCAAAACTTTTACATGCAGCCAGTGCAGAACATTCTTTTATGTAATTTAATTTAATGAAATATGAAATATCACACCTGTTTATTTATTTATTTTTCTAAACCGTTACACTTATATCAGATTTACACTCAACAATCAAGTAAGAAATGATTATACTAAATGATGCAAAGTATGAATTCATTTTCATATTATAATAGAGTTGATTTATGTTCATTACTATTTATTTATTTTTGTGTAGGGAGTCCTACTAGATGGAGTAACGACCTGGTAAGACATATAGGAAGTCGACGGACGCATGCGGCTCAGAATCGTGCCTTGTGGCATTCCCTGGGGGAGGTCCACGTTCAGCAGTGGACTTATGAAGGGATGTAATGATGATCATCATGATTAAGCAAATCAAAATGATTTACTCGTTTTGCACCTCATTTAGAATTTTAAGAGCTTTAGCTTTAAAGGCTGGTTTACTAAAAACAAAGAGATCTATATCACTAAAGATCTCATTGTATGTCCTGAGCATTCGGTTTATAGGCGCATTACGTGCATAATTGGTGCCGGCAAACGGTACATGCAATAAAGGGTGCGGCCGACGGCGGACACGGCGCGATGGTACTTTGTATGTTATGCTCGCCACCAACTCAGGGCAGTCTACCTGTCCACGGACAATATCATACAAAAAACATACGTCCATTAATTTACGTCTGTTTTCGAGTGTCAATAAATTATAAGAGTGACAAGTATTTTCATAGGTTACAAGTGGTGATTTGAAAAAACGATAATTTAGATAATTGATGAATTTTTCCTGTATGCGTTCTATACGATTTTTATACTCGTAAGTAGCGTATTGAGGAGACCAAATTGGACTGGCATATTCTAATATACTGCGAACATAAGCATTATACATAATTTTAAGGGTATTAATATCTTTAAAAGGCTTGCAAGTTCTCATCACAAATCCAAGATTTTTAAAAGCCTTGTTAACAATTTCGTCAACATGCTCTGATAAAAGCATTTTATTGTCAAAATGAACTCCTAAATCTCTAACAGTAGATGTTCTTTGTATTGGAATACCGTTAAAATTGTAGGAGAATGAAATAGGGTTTTTTTTACGTGTGAAGCTAATACATTCGCATTTATCAATATTAATTGTTATGTTGTTAGCAGTATAATAAGCTGATAAAACGGTTAAATCAGTTTGCATTTGATGACAATCCTGCTCAGTACGGATATTGTAAAAAATTTTTTTGTCATCGGCGTACATTAAATGTTGTGAAAACTTAAAACAAGTAGTAATATCGTGAATATAAGCGTTATACAGTAAAGGCCCCAGATGTGATCCTTGAGGAATGCCTGTTGGTATTTTGATAAAGTCCGATCTATATCCACCTATTACAACAGCCTGGGATCTGTTACTCAAATAGGATTTTATCCACCTGAGTAAATCTCCATGTATGCCTAACAATTGTAGTTTATTCAGTAAAATGACATGGTCCACACGGTCGAAAGCTTTTTCGAAGTCCGTGTAGACCACGTCTACCTGACCGTCTCCATCCATATTAGACAAAACATAGTTAGAAAACCACGCCAGATTAGTGATAGTAGAACGATACCTTAGAAATCCGTGTTGAGTTTTTGGCAGTGCCTTACATATTACGGGATATATAACATCATAAATGGTTTTCTCAAAAACTTTGCCAATAGTATTTAAAATTGAAATGCCCCTATAATTTTCAATTTTAGTTTTAGTTCCCTTTTTTATGTACAGGAACAATGTGTGCTCTTTTCCATATATCCGGAAATACACCTTCGCTAAGAGACATATTAAAAATGATAGCGATAGGGACACACAAAGTTTTAGCACAGTTACGCCAAAATAAAGGGGGAATGCCGTCACATCCTGCTCCTTTAGAAATATCAAGTAGTCTAAGTCTTTTCTCAATAGTGGATGTAGGGATAAACAGTTTAGATATATTATCATATGTAGAAGTGGCATTGCTTTCTTCTAATATTTTATCAGAAGGGTCACCGAAAACGTTTTTGAAAAAAGTATTAAAAGTATCACATATTTCTTTACCACCCGTTACTTTAATGCCGAGGTATGATAATTGTTTTGGATAATTCGATCCACCACGCAAAGACTTAACGTATGACCAGAATAACCTCGGTTTGTATTTAATGGCTTCCTCGGTACGTTGAGTATATATAGCAAAGCAAGCATCCTGAACCCGATTTTGTCGTTTACGTAATAATGAAAACTCGTCATAATCTAATAAATTTCCAGACCGTTTCCATTTTTTGTGTGCTTTTGATTTTTCTTTAATTATTTTTATTAAAGCGGGACTGTACCGGATAGGGTATTTATATTTATTATGATAGGACTTAAGTGGTACGTGTTGGCATATAGCATCATTTATTATATTATAAAAGTTATCACAAGCCTCTTGGACCGTGCTAGATTGTAATTGTGTTCGCCAATCGATGCTATTTAGAGTTTCATTTAGTTTATCATAATTGGTTTTATTGAAATCATATTTAGGCTTAGATGCTTCAGTAAACGGTGTGATTGAGACGTCTAAAATTTCCAGTACTAACGGAGGATGGGCGCGGTCAACCTTTATAAGGGGCGAGTTGCAAATTGCGACTTCAAGTGGAAGATTTGAAAATGCCAAATCTAAAGTATTACCGGCATAATTTTTAAAACTGTTATATTGCTTGAGACCGAGAAAGCTCAGTTCATCTGTTAACCTTACACCAGCACTTTTAATTTCAGCATTGCCTTTATTTAAATGTGTTGGGCCCTGAGTACTCCATGAGATGCATGGAAGATTAAAATCACCGATAACTAAAATATTTTTATCAGTACTATTTGAGATTACCACAGATTTTAGTGTTTGCAGTAAGTAATCTATTTCATCTGGCATATGTGAAACATTAGGAGGGATGTAAATCGCAATAATGTACAAATCTGCAGTAGCAGAAATTGCATGTGCCGGTACTAACAGCATTAACATATCAGGCGGTGAGCAGTTATTCAGACAGTCAGTGACTAAAGGAGTTGCACATAACTCATTACGCACTAAGATCATGACCCCGCCTCCTGTCTTTATCGCATGATAATAAATCTCGATCACACCGAAAAACTTCATACCGATCGTCACATAATTCTCCGTCGAAAATCCCGTTATGCAACCATGTCTCAGTTATAACAATAATATCATAATCATTTCTTAAAATCTGCTGTCTTAATTGCAAACATTTAGTTCTCAGCCCCCGTGTAATTTGATAATATATTTTTAGATTTTTACTTTTATTTAACGTATCGAACTTAGAATGCTACCAATTGTTTACAACTTATAGTATAAAAGTTATTATACAACTGGAAAATATTACTAATAAATATAATTGTTTTGTAAAATACAGGGGCTGAAACACAAAAACACAGATTACAATACTGTGTACAAAAGTGATGTTGATTATAGGTTGACAGAAAAAAGCGATGAATAGTTTTCGTGTTTGATTCATTTGATATAAATATCGAAATAGTATAACGTATTAAATGTTCATCCTTTGTAAACCATGTATATAAATATGTGTTAATATTTAAGTTTCCCACTAATGTAAACAGAACGAATAAAATGTATAAATAAATCCATATTGAAAGTTTAAATAATGCATTATTATTGACTATTTGAAGGTATTGTAAGAATTTATTTTTACGCTCCGGCACTAATGTTCTTTTAGCAGTGATAAATAAGACAGTGAAGTTAAAATGCGTTATAGGTCCATCACTATAAACAGGTGCGATAAATGATTTTAGTGATAACGTATATGTATAGAATTTGATGTTAAATATTAATATATCAAAAACAGTGATTTTTAAGCGGCTTAATGTTAGTTTATGATAATTTTGTTTGAAATATGCAAAGTAAATTATATTTTTAAGAAAGAGATAATTTTTGTTACCAGTGCCATTATGACAAAGAAATAATAATTTATTAGCTGCATCATTTACATTCTGCAAAATTTTTGTAATGTTAGCTTTTGTACATGAAATGTGACCGTGCACAATTCGATGCACATTAATTAAGCGTACAAATAACATTGTAAGTAACGTGTTTTCTAGCATAGAGTACCTATTCCGAACAGAGCTGGCAAATAAAGGTTTTTTCATAAACATTAAATATTGAGAATTTAAACTAAATATAGCTATTGAGACATATCTTAGACAATTAACGTTATAAATACAGTACACATTATATAATACGGAAATATATAAATTTAATAAACGAGAAAAGATTATTAAAGAGAATACTTATTTGGAAACACTTAGTTTCTTGAGATTCTCTTCGCTTATGATCTTTAAAGCGGGAGAGTTGTCGTTTTTTCGCACGAATATTAACCCATTTTTTACCCAGACGAACTGATGCTGTTTTATTTTGGCCAATTCCTTACATTTTTTCAATAGTTGTTTATTAAAGGGGGTTAAATGTTCGTTAATATATATAGGTCTGTTTTCTCCTGTTACATCGATATCTCTTGAGGTAATCCGAGCTTTGCGGCCCCGTGAAATTATGTTGTCCTTCAAGAGCCTTGTTCGCATTTTAGCTATTATGACTCTGGGACGACCTTGTAATTTTATTTTCGGAGAAACTCTATTCACTTGTAAAATATCATTTGGCGGAATATCGACACCAATATGTTTTCCAATGTTCAAAATAAGGTCTTGAAGATTTTCGCTTTTGCATTCCGGCACACCGACAATTTCAATATTTGATAATCTCTCTCTCTGTTCACTTGAGTTCAGTTGTGATTGTAATTGCATATTTTGCTGTTTTATTTTAACAATTTCCACCTCTATTTCACGTGTTTTCTTAGTATCGACAGCTAAAGTTTCAATCTTTTTTGCTTGCTCGTCTTGCTGGTCAGCATTGAATTGTACCGACTGCTGGAGACTATTAATTTCTTTTTGTGTTGCCACTTGCTGAGTTTTTAATCTTACTATGTCAGTCTTAATCTCTGTGTATTCCTTACGCATATTATTGATCTCTGCCTTCACCTCGACTACAATCTCGTTCAGTTTTGCAAGGTCGTTCTTAATCAAATTATTTATAGTGTCATTTATTTGAAGTAAATTATTATTAAAATCTGTCTTCCAATCATCCATCTTTTTCAATATATTATCAGTGAATAATTTGAATGAATCTGAAATATCGTGATCATACTTGCGTTTTCGAGCGACAATGTTGGATAGATCCGGATCGGAATCAAAACGTTTATTTGTTGGAGAGCGCTGCATTATCAAAAAATATCACTTCTTTACGTTCATTAATCTATGCATGTGCGAATAGCTTTATATATTACCGATCTTTGTGCGTAGAGGTGGGGATCGCAGTTACACGTAGACTGATGTTTGACTGCACCCGTCGATCATCGAAGTTGACTACGATTCTCAATATTATGACTATAGCAATAAGACACTTTTTCAAAAATATTTACTGTTTACAATGTTTTTTAAAATCCCTCGATAGTCTGAATACGTGCGTCCACAATAACGCGTGGTCGTTCTATGGCAAAATTCCCCCTATGAGGAAATCTATGAGGCCTATGTTCAGCAGTGGAGTTTTATAGGCTGTGATGATGATAATGATAATTTATGTTTTGAAACTAATATTCAAAAATGGCACTGCCTGTTTCCTGTTTCATCTCCTTGTGAATTCTTACCGCGTCCACGGAATGATAAAGGGTAGTGCATTCTCTTACGCCATTACTGCACGCCACCTATAATGAATCCTAGTCCACTGCTGAACGTTGGTCTCTCCATAGATTGTTTCGTAGGAGGGATATCTGCCAGTAGTCACACTTGGGAAGCGGGTTTGTAACTGGAGTTTTTTATTTTTAGTTGTTATTAGGAATATGCTGCTGAATCCTATGATTTACTCTTTCTTAATACACATCTCTCACATTTGTCTTTAATTTTTACAATTAATATGGCAATTTTACATCTACCATATTATAAGAGATGATGATATCGCCATCTATAGGAGGCGATGACATTTTCCTGGCATTTCCCTAAGTCGACTCTTATGAAAGTCAACAATGGGTTTTGTAATGAAGCTAACACTTAACTAATATTTTAAATCAGCTAGGTGCAATAATTACCACAGAAATTAAACATGCTTATGTAATACAGTAGGGTAGGGGATTATAATAAGGCGTTCGGATTATAGTATATAGATATTATATCATCTTCAGAGTCAAAGTCATCCAGATCGCAGCCAGAAGTTTCCTCCGGCTTAAATAACGAGGGCCACAGTCTTCCAAGATTTTTTGATCAAATTTGAGAACACTTGTTGCCAACATTGAGGCAGAGAAAATACAACTTCAAAAGAATTCTGAATCTTTTCCTTGCTGACCAAAAACTTATACTTTTTGATCCACTAGTTAAATTAAGGCTGTACAGCTAGGCGGCATGTACAGAAAAGTGAAATTTTCGTCAATCAACTGCAGATATTCTTCTGATCGCCACTGTGAGACGAGCAGGGGGTCGTTCGGATTATAGAGGTTTTCGGATTATCGTGGCTCTACTATATATATGAAACTGTAATATTGCAGTTTCATATATTACAACAAGCACAAGAATGCTCATATTAATATTATTATTAGGTTTATTAGGTTGTCTGGAAGAAATTCCTGCATAGCAATAAGACCGACTTTTGTTTTTATCTTTGCTTGTTTCTTGTTATGTTATTTCCTTAGTGTTCAATAGGGTATTGTGTTGTATTATTATTGAGTGAGTCAACAGGAATTAATTATCAATGGGGGAAGCATATGGTCAACAGTGGATTTTTATAGGCTGTAATGGATGGATAACAGAAATAAATTGTATTTATTATTTGTTTGGCATTTGACTATGTCAGCAGTTCCAATTTCAAAGCAAACAACATTCTTGTCATACACCTAAAGCAATCATCACTTTAAAATATTAGACTGTAACTTACGACGAGCAAACTGAGCAAAAGCTAACATTAGTGCTATGCTAGCTGCAGTGCCCTTTTGATGAGAAGAAATTGGTCGGAAAGGAGCTGACACCACCAACGCTTCAAGTGATGCAGTTCGAGGGGCACGAAGTATTCCGTACACATTTGTGCCTCGGTAGACCTAGAAAAGTACTATATATGTATTAAAAAACACAACAAAAACTGAACATGAACTATATTATATTTATTAAAAAAAAAGCTTTAAGGTAATATATAGTAAATGTAAAAAAAATATTGTAGTCATGTCATAGTTTAGTTTTCTAATAAATATACATATACAAATAAAATTATATGTATTAAGCTGTCAACTTAGGCTTTCTGGGGGTTGGCGAGCCTTAAAATCTAAACCCTTCACCTTTTTACAAACAGTGCACTCAGATGCATTTACACTGGTATATCCCAATTTAAATTTTATCATTGACAGGGTGACAGCATGGTGAGAGGATTATAAGTTTCAGTTTAATTCATCTAAGTGTGTAACACTAAATTTTACTTGCACACGCAATCCCATTCTATACAGGTATGCGCTGGATGGAGTAGCTATGGCACGAGTGACCAAGGTTAAGGATTTGGGTGTTTGTTTCACCTCAGAACTTAATTTTCAAAATCCCAGTCTCATGTTGGAGAGAATTCAAAACAAATTTGTTAGGGTTTCTATATCACAAAAAGTATGGGGTATATCCTTTTTACCCACTTAAATATCCAATTTTATTCGTTTTAGGTATGGTGGGATATAATGTACTCCGCCGTAGGCGGGACCTCGCACTGGTATCATATTCTCCAAGTAATAAGAGGAAAGATAGACCATCCTTATTTATTGGAGGGTATATATTTGAATGTCCCAAACAATATATGTGGCGAAGGCGGCGGGCGCAGCTGCTGGCTGTGCCGCGCGCTCGCACCAACTTGCTGAGGGAGGCGCCGCGCACTCGCGCCACCAGACTACTTAACCTTATCCATGAGGAGGTTGACATATTCATATGTTCTGTGAGTGAATTGACAAGGGCTGCATTATTTATCATATGTTACAATAATTAAAATGTTTACTGGTTTCACTAGCACATTATGCCTTAAGATCCTGTATTGTGAGTGATAAGTTTGCATATATCCTTTCAGCTGTGGAGACTCTAACCATTATACTCCGTTGACTGCGGAGCTGTTTAATAAAATTGACGGCTCATTGGGCGCAATGCGTTTAAACGGAAATTTCTTGAGTTAGGTATATCAAATACTATAATATTGTATACATTTCTGAATTCTCTATGAAATTTCCTATAAACGAGTACATTAATTAAATAAAGTCCCAAAGTAATAAGTAAGTAAATATTGAATAAAGACAAAATTGTCATATTTCTCGATGAAACAAAGTTTTTTAATACTTCGATTTTATTTTAATTTAATTTTAAATCTATTGTTTACAATATTTTATGCGTAAAAACATACTACAATACAATTTTTTTATCATAAAACGCATTAATAATAAGCTTACAAGAACTTCTTACACCGATTCAAGATCAACTTACATGTAGAATGTAGTTCGGATCAGATGCGGCATTAATGGATTAGTCAATAAGATTAACATTAGTTTTTTTTTTTCATTAAAAATATATACTTAAATTCATGAAGAAACATGTGGTTTTATTTCCAGAACTAGTTGAACCTCTCTTTTTCCTTACATGATTCAGTCGTCTTTAAACAAATCTTGCTAAGTTTTACAAATCTCATAAAGTATTTCATAAGTATTCTTAGTGCCAATATCAAAATTTTTGACATTTTAATTAATGACAACTTTTTGCGTTCTGTCACTTAAATATGAAATAATTAATTTAAGAGCATCGCTTCATACACTGTAGTGTTGAAGTTTCCTGATTAATGTTTCATGGTGAACACAATCGAAGGCTTTGGATAGGTCACAGAACATACCCAAAGCATCCTGTGAATTCTCCCATGCATTAAATATATATTTAATCAGCTCAACACCAGCATCAGTTGTCGAGCGACCCCTTGTGATACCAAATTGATTTTTATGAAGTAAAAGAAAAAATATTTCGAAGACATGTGAAGTTCTCCAACACACATAGGGGCAGCGCGGTGGACACTTCTTTGCCCTAAAACCCTCTCAGAAGTGAGGTAAGGCCCAGCAGTGGGACGTAAATAGGCTGTAACTTAATTAACTTAACTATTTCAACGATGATAGTCTGAAATAATCAGCTGAACAAATTATAGCTAGGCAACAATAAAAACAAAATGGATGGATGGACATAAGTATAAAATTGAATAAATATATAACATGGGTACTCATTTCTTTAAAAGGCTCCTGGTACTTGTTGGATTTACTGTATCTACAGTACTATTCATTTACGAATGTTACTGTAGGTATCAGCAATCTTGCTCTAGGTTGAAACGCAACGTTACACGATTTGCAAAACTGAAACATATGTAAAAAAGAAATCAAAAAGAATTAAATTTTTTTAATTCTTTTTGATTTATGAATTTTGCAAAGTGCATACAGATAAATTGCCGTGTAGTGGCGGTTGAGAATATCCACTACCCCATATCTTCCCGTGGGTGTCGTAAGAGGCGACAGAGGGAGACAGGCAGGAGATGGGCAGCAGCATCTTCCTGATAACAACAATAACTTAATAAAAAACTGCGGTTGCCAACCCGCTCGCCAAGCGTGGCAACTATGGCAAATATCCCCCCATGAGCAACGACGCAAATAAACGGCCCCCAGTCCCCGGCGGCCCCGCTATGCAGGGGGTGCTAAGAATCTCCGGTGGAGGTTCGGTTGCCACCTACGACGACTCGACCTGGCAACGTATAACGCACGCACCCTGAGGACTGACGAGAAGATACTGGAGCTGGAAGAAGAGGTAGACAAGTTGCGCCGGCATATTATTGGATTATCTGAGGTCCGAAGAGAGGGGGAGGACACGGTAATCCTCGAGTCCGGCATCTTGTTCTATCACCGGGAGGGCAACCATCTGTCCCAAGGAGGTGTCGTACTTATCGTCCACAAGTCTCTCGTCAACAACGTTGTAAAGATTGGGTGTGTGTCGACGAGGGTTGCGTACCTGATACTCGGAATCACCAAACGGTATTCGCTGAAGGTCATACAGGTCTACGCACCAACCTCGGCACATCCCGATGAGGAGGTGGAGGAAATGTATGAGAATATTTCTAGAGCCATGCATTCCTTCAAAACCCACTACACGGTGTTGATGGGAGACTTCAACGCAAAACTAGGCACAAGAGAAGGCGGTGAGCTGAAGTTAGGGAATTTTGGAGTAGGGCAACGGAACCGTAGGGGACAGCAGCTGGCTGACTTTATGGAGAAAGAGGGACTCTTTATGATGAACTCATTCTTCCAGAAGCGGCCCCACAGGAAGTGGACCTGGTCGAGCTTCGACGGTTCGACAAAAAAATGAGATTGACTTCATTATGACGACCACAGACGTCAACTGTTCAGTGATGTCTCAGTGATCGCAAGGGTGAAAACCGGCATCGATCACCGAATGGTTAGAGGCACACTGAACCTTAACGTTAAGTTGGAGAGGTCTCGTCTAATGAAGTTAACACTCCGTCCTCCTCGTGCTCTGATCCAGAATCCCGAGACTTTTCAGCTCGAGTTACGTAACCGCTTTCAGTGCCTATAAGTAAAAAACATATATATAACAAAAAACTCTCCGATCACACTCTTAATCTCATAGCTGTTAGACGGGAGATGAGGCTGCAATCGTCAACAGATTTGACAGAATACAGGCAACTGAACAGACAGATCTCCAAATGCATGCGGCGAGACTTACGCAACTTTAATACTGGTCGTATTAAAGAAGCGATCGAGCGGAACCAGGGCTCCAGTCTTTGCCAGAGATTTGTCTGCCAGAAAGAACCAACTGTCAAAGCTGAAGACTGAGTGTGGCAGCATCGTTTCCGAGACAACTGAGATTTTGAGTGAGATTGAGAGGTTCTATGGGCAGCTGTACACATCATCGTTGGAGCCACACGAAAGTGTGAGTAACGATCCAAGAGCAAGTCTTACCCGACACTATTCCGATGATATCCCGGACGTCAGTCTGAGCGAGATTAGAATGGCTCTCCAGCACCTTAAAAACGGCAGGGCCCCAGACGAGGATGGAATTACAGCGGAGCTTCTGAAAGCGGGTGGAACACCGGTACTTGAAGTCCTTCAGAAGCTCTTCAATTCCGTCCTCCATGGTGGCACTACTCCGGAGGCGTGGAGCAGAAGTGCTGTGGTCTTGTTCTTTAAGAAAGGCGACAACGCTTTCTTGAAGAACTACAGACCGATTTCTCTTCTGAGCCGCGTCTACGTGCTGTTTTCGAGAGTCATTACGAATCGTCTCGCACGTAGACTCGACGACTTCCAGCCTCCCGAACAAGCCGGTTTCCGAAAAGGTTTCAGTACCATAGACCACATGCATACCCTGCGGCAAATTGTACAGAAGATCGAAGAGTACAATCTGCCACTTTGCCTGGCGTATGTGGACTATGAGAAAGCCTTTGATTCCGTCAAAATTTGGGCGGTGCTACAGTCCCTTCAGCGGTGTCAAGTTGACTGTCGGTATATCGAAGTGCTGAAGTGTTTGTACAGTAGGGCTATGATGGCTATCCGAGTACAGAACTTCGACAGAGTTCGAATCCTATCCAACTGCAGAGAGGTGTAAGACAGGGTGACGTTATATTCCCGAAACTCTTCACCGCTGCGTTGGAAGACGTTTTCAAGCTACTGGACTGGAAAGGATACGGTATTAACATCAATGGTGAGTACATCACTCACCTTCGATTTGCCGATGATATAGTCCTTGTGGCAGAATCCCTGAAGGACCTTAGCACTACGCTCAATGACCTCAATGGTGTCTCCCAACGGATAGGTCTTAAGATGAACATGGACAAAACAAAGATCATGTTTAATGTCCATGTCACACCTATGCCGGTAGTTGTTGGGAGCACTATGCTCGAAGTTGTTGACGAGTACGTTTACCTGGGACAAATAGTCCGACTAGGTAAGTCCAACTTTGACCGAGAGGTCAATTGACAGATTCAACTCGGCTGGGCAGCGTTCGGGAAATTACGACACATCTTCTCGTCAGGTATACCTCAATCTCTGAAAACTGAAGTGTACAACCAGTGCGTGTTGCCAGTGATGACTTACGGATCAGAGACGTGGTCCTTCACTGCTGGCCGTATGAGGACGCTCAAGGTCGCTCAGCGAGCGCTGGAGAGGGCTATGCGCGGAGTTTCTCTGCGTGATAGACTCAGAAATGAGGATATCCGCAGTAAAACCAGAGTGACCGACATAGCCCAACGGATTAGTAAGTTGAAGTGGCAATGGGCCGGCTATATAGCTCGAAGAACCAATAACCGATGGGGAAGAAAGGTTCTCGAGTGGCAGCCTCGTACCGGTAGGTGTAGTGTAGGGCGACCCCCCCACTAGATAGACACCCTGTGCAAAAACATTGTATATTTGCAACCAATGCATGTGGCTAACTTACCTTAATATTTTTTTCCAGGTAGGTACTTTACATCTTTCAGTCTCGTACGGTTTAGGTAGGCACTACACGCAAACCAAACTTATCACGGAATGGCGAAAAGGGATGTTTTACAAAAAAATTTACTATTAAAAAAACTGCTTACTAAAAAATTTGAAATTTCACTCACAGTAAGGGCATGAGTTTGTCCTCTATATACAAAAACATGAAGGGGGGTCGTCACTCAAAAATAAAAGTTATTAGAGTCCAAACTTACAAGATGTGGAACACCAACTGCAAAACTGTGGTTATTTTAGGTTATACACTTCTGGCTGATGATGCAAATATTTTGGGAAAGAGCTTTCCGAGACTCTGCGAGCAACACCTTCAATTCCAGCCGCAGACTCCCGGTTCGCGAAATCACCTACCACATGGTTTACAGTTTTCCTCTAATAACTTAGGTCCTGTCTTTTATCCAAAAATTCCAAATTTTTGAAGGATAATGTGTCTCCAGGTGGCGCACAAAAATTATATCTAAAAAATAGCAGGTTGTGGTGACTAATCGAACGCCGCATGCGATTTACTGTTTTGCTAATATGAGAAAAAACAGTTTTACACTTGAAAAATCACAAAAAACTGTTTTGCGGCTAAAAAAATTATACCACTAGATGCATCTCGTTAATACGCAAATTTGACACTAAGAACAATGAAATTCGTTAACTTTTTACCACTTTTCGAATTTTTAACTGCAGTAGCGTCACAATTTCGTGGCATTCCGCTTTGCTTCCTTGTACTTGCGGGGATAAGTTTATCTCCTATTTTATCGACTGTGGATATTACATCCACCATAGGCCCATGCTCGCAGGGTGGATAAGACTCTGGCATAAGGATAAGACAATTTCATCTCTTGTTAGGGGATATAATCTGGGGAAATTTTTTGTCTCCTCCTGTTTTATAATAAAAAATCTACACTGCGTCTAATAATTTGGCCAGGGACCTTAAATCTGAGGTCATTATGCTTTGGTTGTTTGGATAAGCTAAAGTTTAAGCTAGCAATGTGCTACTAAAAATAAGTCTCAAAATAAAAACAACCTTACCTGGCCTTGTCCCATAGGATAATTAAGTGTAAAGTTATGTGTATACACTTCCAAATGTAACTGGGACATTTTTGCAACAAGCCATGGCACTGGAATTGCATCAGTTTCCTGGTACTTATCCTAAAAACATTATTTTATGTATGAGTATATAGTAAAATGGTTTAAGTTGCAATTTAAATAACTTAATAAATAATTAATATTTTTTGTTTTTAATGTATCAGAGAAATTATTTAATCTCCTCTAAAATTTTAATCTTAATTATTATTTCAATTTTAAATACAAATTTAAATCCCATGACTGACTAGACATTGGCAGAATTCCATTTATCACATTAATTTAGGTTTGTCACACTAAAAATAAAAATTATTGCATAGGTACCTCTAATTCTTGCAAAAATTCACTAAAGAATCTGTTAGCTGAAGATTCCGCATTAAACTCCTTGGTAACTAACCCAGGAAGTAAGGCGTTTTCCGAAAAATAAGTCTCATTATTGAACTCCTTATTCGCCAGCATAAAGAACCACACAATTGCTGCAATGTAGCACAAAAAACACAGCGGCCCGTTTACTTTTTTCAGAATTCTAACCCATTTCACCGATCCATATTCTGGATCTGATAAAAGACCCATTGTACACTATTTAACACAGAACGTAATGAATAATTGATATTATAAGTCAATACATATTAAAGATATAAGGAGATTATTATTTTAAAATTTCAATTTATTTCGCTTTATAGTTGAGCTTGAGTTCAAATGTAATAGACAAGATCTTTGTTTGAAAATTTAAGTAATTGACAAGCAGTTTTTATAAAAAAAAGCAAAAGCAAACCCCTTTAACCCACCACCCCCACCCCCCCTTCTCATATTTATTTTTTTTTATTTAAAGTAAATTTTTTATTTTTTAAAAAAATTTTATTTAATAAAAAAAAAAATAAATATATAAAATAAATAATTAAAAAAAAATTATATGAATGTTAATATTAAAATAAAAAAAAAAAAAAAAAAAAAAATAATTTATTCACCCTAAAAAACCACCCCCCCAAAAAAAAAACAAAAACACCCAAACCACCACCCCCCCCAAGTGGAAAAAGAGTTGATTTTTTTTTATTTTTTTATTAACTGACTTTACGGCTCTGGGTTCTAGCCCTTGGTAGAGCCTATCATTTCTTTTGGAGTCTTCATTTTTATATTCTTTTTCTTCACAATATGCTGATGTGACACACATTGCGAAGTCCTTGGGAGATTTTGACGACAGCTCAACCCAGCGGACAGTTGATGACAACAGCCACTCAAGTTCATGAGGCGCCCAAGCGATCAAAATAACTTGAGGTTTATATCGACATCAAAGCACTTGTTTCGTCGTTTTCCCTAATAGTTCACACGCGCGGACACTTAATTCACATAATCGCATCACTTTTACGAATCAAAATCTACTTCAAACCATTATTTAAGTGACAAAACAGGAGCGACAATACGTCGAAAGTCAATTTCCTGCCAAAACCATTCACCTAACTGCATTAAATAATTCATGTTTAGTTGCAATTCCAGAGTACCTACCTAATGATAATAATTATTATAAATTATCTGCGAGTTTATTCTGCTCAGGGATAATGTAGCTTAGGGACTTTATTTAGGCTAACTTTTATTTTGAAAAAACGCTCAGCGAAACGGGCACGGAACAACTAATAGATTCTATAAGGGTTTCTTTTTTTGTTTTGAGGTCGGAACCCTAAACAAAGCACATTCTGGGATTATTGTTATATATGTGTAATTTTTTTTCGATCTCCTTAACGTCCATCTTCATCTAGCTACCAACGCAGAATAAAACACGCCAACGTGTGAATGTCACCACGAAAATCTGCCGAACACACTCGCTGTAAGGGATGAGAGCTAAGTACAGTCCGTATTTATATTTGATACAAGAAGAATAACTGGACTATTACTATTACTGTAACATCTGTCTGAGTAACTATTTGATGGAAACTAATTGCTATTTTATTCTGCTAGGGGCAGAGTTAATTAAAGAAAGTACAAAAATAACACTTATTTTACTATAATATTTACAGTATTGCGGCAGTTAAATATTCTAACACTATTGCATAACTAATGGGAACCGAATAAGGAGCTTGAGGGGACTTCTTTCTTGCTTGTTCTTTTCTTGAGTGCCTATGCCGCGAATGGAAAATCCCGTCGGGAGCGCTTTTTTATAGACGCTGTCGGGGTCACGCAGACACCAAGTTGGTGTTATATATTCCATTTTTCAGGTGTGATATGTTGAAGTCCTTCTTCAAAAAGTTTTTTTACTTCTGTCCTTTTGAAGGTTTTGTTATTTCTTGCAACATATCCTTTAGCCTGCGCCCATACCAACTCAATGGGATTGAGCTCACAGTGGTATGGGGGCAGACGTAAAACAATTATCCCATGCTGCGCTGCCATCTCGTCCACAACATACTTATCGCAATGTTCTTGCTTGTGCTGCCGTACAATGTCTATAAGAGTAGCTTTAACCATTGTTGCTTCGAATGAAATATTTTTGCTCGTTAGCCACTCTAGTATTCTAGGTTTAGTCCAAGACATTTTAGGCAGCGATTCTAGTTTCCTGGAGTGGTAGGGGGCATTATCCATCACTACTACGGAATTTGGTTTTAGTTTTGGCAAGACACCCCAAAACCACTTCTCAAAGGAATCGGCATTCATCTCTTGATGATAATCTTCTTTTTTTTTGGCTTCAAATATTAATAAGCTGTCTTCTACGAATCCTTCTTCCCCGCCTATATGGCCGATAATTAATCGTTTGCCCTTTCCTGAAGGCTGTTTTAAGCCAGTGGTCAAGCCATCTAGGAAGGCCTGGCGGGACGATAACACTGTCTGGTCAATCCATGCCTTCTTCGGTGCATGACCTTCAAGATAGTGAAAAATATCAATTAATTATTTGAAAGTACAATTTAATGTAAAGAAAACAGAAAATTGTAATTACCTTCGTTGATCCAGGTTTCATCTTGGTAATAAATATACCTTCCTTCCCTTCGATACTCTTTAATTTTTCGAAGGTATCGCTGGCGCCATAGAATAATGTCCTGTCTGTCAATTAAAATGCTGTGTCTTGATTTTGTGACATATTTGAAATTTAAATGTTTCATAACATTTCTTAATGTACTCCAAGAAAAATTGGGTAAGTCTGGGTCTTCATTGCCAACTTTACGAATCTGTAAAGTAATAAAATATGTTTTGAGTAAGGAAGTCTACGCAATCTAATACTTTGGTTTTACAAAGAACATTATGGTGGACACTGAATATAATGCAGTAGAAGGAATAAAGTTTAAGTTACCTTTATAATGGTGGGTGACTCATTTGCATAAAAAAAATTATGTACTTTTCGCCTTATAGCGGCAAAAGTAAAATCGTCTAATTTATCTTTGAAACTGTGTTTCGGTCCACGTTTCTCGGGAGACTTAAATTGTTCATTTTCTTTGCATTCTTTTAACACACTGTAAACTGAGGTCACACCAATTCCCAAAATGTCAGCTGTTTTCGAAACACATTCTTTTTTTTCGGGGGCCTCAATAGGTAATAGTGAAGCAGCTTTTTCCTCAAATACGTGTTTGTAGACGTTTTGTATCATAAGTTTTTCGGTAACGCTTAAAGCAATCCGTGGTCTCTTCTTTCTTGGAGACAAGCTTTGGCTTGACGTGCTTGGTTGAGGATCCATATCGTTTGTACGAAACAATATAGCAACAAATAAACACAACAATTACCACAAACACAACCTAACGAAAAACTTAACAAAAACAATAACTAAACAGCGTGAGCGCAGAAAAAACATTCGTGCTATCAGACCAGAGGTTAGAAGCCGAATAACAAACAAAATGGCGACCGACGCGCGCGGCGTTGATCGGTGTTGGCACTAGTCGCCGCGCCGCGCTTTGTAATAAAACCTCAAAAAACTGATTGTAGTTACATACTACTAGTAACTTATATCAGAGCACTTTTATACAATTTTATTGTAAAATAGAAATAATATTCTTTTATAGTTTGAAATGATTAACTATTCACACTCATTGTTCATTCATCTGATTGAACGAGAACTGAACGCATCACTATTACTTTAAATATGGCAACATTATTTTACAAAGTGACATTAGCTACTGTCAGTTGGCTTCGTCTAATTAAAAATACGACTATAGTTCAGGATCGGTAGTTTTAAAGAGACGTATAATATGATTTATGTCCTGAGCCTTTTTACCCTTATTCTTGTGAGTTTTTTTGCTTCGATTGCGGGACTGAATTAAATAACAGCTTCTTTGCAGCCACTATTTCACTAAGAAAAGCTATCACAGTATAAACTTATAAGGGTTACCTCGTCCATTACGCCTTGTTTTGAATAAATGCTAGCTCACTATATTACGGATTGCACATTTTACAATATCCGAGGCCATTTTTGCTAAGTTATAGGCGCGGTCGGCCGCACGACAACTGACTGATTAAACACGAGTTTGCAATTTTGAAGACAAAGTAGCGTAGAATTGTATTAATCTAGTTCAAGATTCAATTATTTTAGGAACCACAGATGGGTTATCTTTTTGAGATGCTTTTACTTGACTAATGTCGTCAGTTATTAGATAACACGTTAACTCTAATACAGAATTTCATCCAAATGGCTTTAGCTGAAGCTGGCCCGTACAATTAATTATCAATTATATATTTTATATAACACCAAACGGTTTGTTTCGTCTTTTTAACGCGGCAAAGGAGTGGAATAATTTCCAGCGTCCAATACAATCTGGGCGTCTTCAAGGCAAGAGTGAATCGGCTTTTGTTACTCAAAAACTATGATTTACTATTTTGGGCTACATCACCGCTTACTACCAGGTGCGATTGTGGTCAAGCACTGGCTTATACAATATAAAAAAATTGTTAGTAAAATATTATGTACGAATAAAAATAGACAACGATCAAACTATTGATGCAAAGTCTTTTCTATTTTGGATACATTGTTAATAGCGACTGTTCTTGTACTTTCCCATTGGAAGAGAAGGATGACCGGTATTGATTTAGAATGTTCTACGTTCCTCTTAAGGACGCGTTTACAAAATTGATAGGTAGAGAATCGCACTACTACACTGACAAAAGTCACACACACAAGTGTACGCACGGTTGGCTGTGGGAATCGTAGTCAAACGAAATTATTTTGATAATTTGAAAGATTGAATTTGTTTTTCATTTCTTATACCTCAGAAATATACTTGATACGAAATACGAATACCTGCTCCAGAGACTGCTTGGCACTGGAAGCCCTCTAGTGGTAGTGAGATGTTAGCTCTGGACTTTGAACTGGTTTTGTCAGTTATAATAAGACCTTACCTACCTGCGGACTTGATGGAGTGACCTGAAGGTGTAATTCGGTGATTACAAGTGGAACTCCTAGACTTGTAGAACTAGGTGTGCCGAGTTTGGGTTCGTTTTGTTAGTTATGATGAGACCTTACCACCAGACTTGATGGAGTGACCTGAAGTTGTAATTCAGTGATTACAACTGGAACTCCTAGACTAGTACAACTAGGTGTGCCGAGTTGTGGTCCGTTTTGTTAGTAACGATGAGACCTTACCACCAGACTTGATGGAGTGACC